CTACTCTACCGACACTGTTTGACCGACAAAACTTTCCATGTACAGTTCTGGTCATGGACAGTTGTGGAAATGGACAGCGCGATTCATGTACAGTTGTGCTCTCTGGTTTGTCACTATCCATGGACAGTGGTGACTGGTAGTTGGCACCACATAATTGAAAATTCATTAGTTTTTTAATTTAGATCAATAGTAGGGCCTTTGTACATCATTGTAATACCATTAAAAAATTTTGTAGACCCTTCATTATTTTTTAATTAATTAAACAAAATAATGATCGGAAGTTAGCACCCCACCCCACCAATTTTTATTTGTAGACCGAGATAATATTAACCAATGGAAGGCAAATCGTTTGTAGATAATAAATAAATTGGTATCATCCTTCTACACCTGAGTGTTCATTAGATATTAATTAAATTAAAAAATGGTCTGTAGTGTTTACATCGGCGCATGCGCAGACACGTACCCTCGCACAGTTTGGCACCATGCACTTGGAAGCAATATCGTTCTTTAATTAACTTTTCAAACTTTTTTCTTGGTAAATATTTAGGTAGTAAATTGGTGAAATTTAGAAGAACATGATTACAATTTGAGACTAATTAGTTTTCGTTCAATTTTTTTTTCTTTTTTGTTAATAATAATGAGCAGAAGTTATTCTTAAAAAAATCAAAAATAATTGGAATCACAATCATTTTAAAATGCATCTTCTGTATGGATAGTTTTTAAAACAACCAAGTTGAAATTATCGACAAATAATTGGTTAAAATTACAGAACGAAAATAGGAAATAGAAAATACAAGAGTTCCAATCCAAAATTAAATTGTCTTTCGTAATGGAATATACCAAAATTTCAAAGTTGGTGTTAAACAATTAACTTTGTACCCCCATTGGCAATGCCCGTTCAAAAAACTCAATGAAAAGTCACTTATTAAAAGGTAATTAACGATCGCACGTAATTAAAGATAAATAAATGCAAAATCAAGGGAATGTCAAATCAGAATGGAATATCAATTTTGAAGACGTTCAAATATCTTATTTTTACAATCTCCCTTACATTACACAGCTAACTTTTTTATAACTGAGTGAAATAAGACATCAAATATTCAGGTTGTTGAAATAGTCAACATTAAAAGCCAAATATCTGCGTGAAAGTTCAAGACGGTTCATTTATACATTTTTATAAATAATTTTACATTTTGATACACATTTGGTTGACCCTACATCTATTCTTTCCTAATTACATGAGAGTGTAGTTAGTTATCTTCATCAATTAATCGAATGATGAATTCTAATTCATTTGAATTTTCTTAACGAATGTCGATAATGAAGAAAAGTACGGCCACATCGATCCATGGGAGTCCACGCATGCGCAGATGTACACATTGTCATTGATATCATTAATTAATTAGTATTTAAAGAACAATTAGGTCTAGAATGATAATTCAAGGATTATTTTTTACCGACAAACGATTTGCTCACGATTGCCAAGGTCAATTTGGTTCTACAACTGAAAATTAGGAAAGTCCGATGGTGACTTTTGTATATTATTTTCATTAATTTGTAAAAAATCAAAGAAAGGCCTACAAACATTTTAATCACTATTACAATGTCATACAAATGGTCCTCACAATTCCTCTCGGATGATCGAAAACACCATACTAGCTGTCAGTACCAGTGTCTGCGCATGCGCCGATGCAAACACTATAGACCTTTTTTTAACCTAATTAAAATCTAATGAATAATTACGTGTAAAAGAATGAAACCAAGGTATTTATTATCTACAAACGATTTGCTCCCCATTGGTTAATATTATTTCGGTCTACAAATAAAAATTGGTGGGGTGGGGTTCCAACTTCCGATCATTATTTTGTTTAATTAATTAAAAAATAATGAAGGGTCTACAAAATTTTTTAATTGTATTACAATGATGTACAAAGGTCCTACTATTGATCTAAATAAGAAAACTAATGAATTTTCAATTATACGGTGCCAACTACCAGTCACCACTCCCGGGCGATTCTGACTCAGCGTCATTTTCCTATTTCTAAATAGTTTTTTTCCATTTTTTGCTGTCGGATTAGTTTGTAGGAGTCTGAGAATCACCTGTCAATCACCTACAAACGATTCCCTATCGATTGAGCTATTGTTGAACTGAATTAGGTGAATTTTTATTTTTTGGGAGCTAACTTTTGTGTTTTTGGCTCCCGAAATTTAAAAAATCCATAAAAAAATCAATTGAATCTGACAAACGATAAAAATAGTCTGACATACACCGACTAACGACTGTCAAACGATTTGACTAAATTAAATAATTAATTTCCATTGATGAGTAGCCAACTACCCGGAGCTATATTAACCCCTCTCGTTTATTTGATTCTCATTGGTGTGGACTTTCTTCCTTATTGAAGTATTTTGTGCATGTACTAAAAATATCTTGCCTCCATTGACATCAAGCCTAAAGTTTGGTTTCCGATTTTTTAGACGAATTATAGAAAAATTATTAGTTCGTTAAAATAATATATGAAAACAGTAGATAAATACATATTTTTCGGTATTACATTCTCATTTTATTTTAGAAGAACGGTCGTATTCAACCTACAATTATTTTCTTTTCCATTTTTTTCAATTTTGGGCATTGTTTGAGTACCTTTTTAGTGGTCAGAAATTTGAAGTTCAGCGCTTCTTAAAATTCCACTGCGTATGTAAAATTATGCAAGAGAACATTCACAAATCGAATGTTGTGAAGGTGGCTTTGCATTATTAATAATATTAGCTTTTCGTACTGAGAACAATCCAATACTCTTATTCAGGCTTTAACCCATAAACGTGCGGTAGATTACTACAAGAATAATTTATACGCAATACACTATTGCTTCACTCGTAAGTTTAACAATCCTGAACATTTTTGCAGTAGGTTGAAATTTTATAATAAAAATAAAATCAATTAATTTGAAATTAACGTATGAAACCGTTTATGTTTGAACTCAATAACTTGCCGCTAATTGAGTGAGTAAAACATTTTTTTCTAATGTTCATTTAATTGTAACAAGGATCACAATGGTGGCTCATACTGTTCTTCTCGACTTCACTGTCTCTTCTAATGTGATAGCTGATATTGATAAACGTTCCGGCTTGAAATCGCTAATTACACGTGTTCTGAGTGATCATTTCAACGGGCTCCATGCTATGACAGAGTCAACAATCGGAGACAGCTTCTTCGTGCTTTACACTGGACCACGAGGCAGTCTTATCACTGTCAGAGGATATGCGGAAGGCCTCGTCACAGTTAATATTGAATACTACAAGGGAGATAACGAAGATGCCCTCATGACCTTCAAGGTATCGACTTTACTGTTAATTTATTTATTATTCATGACTGTATCAATCAAATGGTTCGACAGAAGAATTCATAACATTCGTTTATTATACTATGAAAGCAAATATGCTTTATCGTTGCGGTAACATACATTCAACGTCTGACCGCATTACATTTTGAGAAAAAAATTTCAAGTGGTAAAAAAGCCAAAAATGAGTATCTTTGAATTGTCAAAAACAGCTATTGAGCCCAAAAAAAGAGAAATGAAAAATGTACATGGAGACTTAATATTTCTATTTCCATTAATGTGCCTAATTGGTCAACATTTTGCAGTTTTTTTTTCATATAAAAAGAAGTTAAATTATTTCTAAACGGATGTTATTCCAGACATTCTCCCGTTCTTGTGGCTCTAAATTATCTAACATTTTTTTATGCTCTCAGTGAACATCAAACAGGGAAAAAATTTATGGACTTTCATATCAACAACAATTCTTTATTTATTCTAGTACAAAAAAAAACGGACAAAAGCGTTAATGTGCAGGAAAATGGTATAAATATTGTGGACAATGTTCGAGCATTTGCTTGGCTTATTTCCAAAATTGGAATTTCCTAGAAAAAACAGGGTATACTACTGGCACCGTAAAATAAGTCATTCGCATCCTTGATATTGAGTAGAAAAATGTCTAGAATTCGATAGCCATTGATCAGGGAGTCCCAGTCGCGTAGACGGCTGAGATCCAGTGATGGGAAAATTTCACTTTTTTTTATCTTGAAAAACTTATGAACTGTTCTACTTCTAAATATAAAGGATCATTTAACTTTGCACTAAAAAATGTTTCTGACCCAAATTGTGAAGAGATTTACAGAATTTGATTCTTCTATGTCTCAATTTGAATTCTCCAATTTAAATTTTGCTTAAGGCCCGGGTGGATCATCTATCGAACGTCATCTTTTGTTTAAATTTGATCTATTTAGCACAAAATATATTAAAATTTGGGATGAAATTTGTATTGCGGGAAGCACTTGAATGGACATGGAAAAATAATGAAGAAAAAGAGGACAAATTATTGAAAGGCGCTAAAAAACGATATTGTTTACAAGGGATGTACAAAATTTCTTAAAAAATAATAAAAATTACGTAGTTTACTATTGCATCTGGCTGTTACTGAATCTCCTGGAGAGCAATGGTAAGCAGGCTCATTATTTTTTAGTAAACTTGGTAGAGCCCTTTTAAACACTATAGCTCTCTAGCGCCCTTCAATAAGGGTCCCCCTTTTGTTTCATTAATTTTTTATGTCCAATCTTGTGCTTCCCTCAACACAAATTTGATTTCCAATTGTATGTATTCTATATATTCTAGGCGGAAATTATCAAATTTAAATAAAAGATGACGGTCGATAGATGGTCCACTCGGGCCTTAATACTTAAAAAAATTTTCAAGTACTAAATTCTTCACGACCTTGGACTTCGAATGCTTCAAGCCATACGTGAAAAAATTTACTGTTCATTGTTCCCGGATTTAATTTTTATAAGTTCCAATGAATGAGATTGATAAGTCATCGAGCAAATTTCACTAAAAATTGGTTGGGAAATTTCTAATATATCGTTTTTAAATCGCTAAGGCATTAAAGCACGATTATAAATCCATAGGTTTAATACCCCGTAATTTTGTAATAAGTTTCGGGAAGTACGAAAGGACTTCATATTTGAAGAAGAATCAAGTGCTATCACGTCTTTTAAGACTTGATCTATTTTCTGAAATTTTAAAGGGGAGGTCCGGTTGAAGTATCTGATTATCTCGTATATATATTTTTTTGTCTTGTTTTTTATCTGAAACTTTGGTGCAGTCCTGGATGAAAATAGCTTCAAGACATAAATGCATGTAGGTTGAAAATAAAGTAAAAATGAAACCAAAAATATAGAGACTGTGCTTTTTCATTAAAATCAGAAGATAATTGTACAAAAGCACAAGTTGGGAGTATCTAATTTGATGGAGCAAGGGGGGGGGGGGCGATAAAAAAAAATACCTTCCTGCGCGGTTCGTGGCTCATTGTTTCACAAAAGTCGTTCTCTGAAAAATGATTACATTTTTTTGAGATTTTTTTGGTTATAATTTTCTTATCTGATCATTGGCCACTGTCTCCGAATTAGGTAGCGAAAAAAAGGGGGGGGGGGGCGGTACAAGAAGTTGGATGAACGTTGCAGCTTAATTTTGATGTTCGGATGAAAAAACTTCTACTTCTTGTACCCTCCTCATTTCGCCAGCTACATTGATAGCAGATCGCCACTTCAATTTTTAGCTATCTAATTCAGAGACATGCCAAATATGAGGTAAAGAAATTATGGTTGAAACAATCTAAAAAATAACTAAAAATTTTTCAGAGACCAAAATGTTATACATATGCCCCATGTGCTGCGTACGGAATAATTTAAATTCAGCATATTTTTCGTCCGCCTCTCTTTCTCTCTATGGCTGAAGTGACAGCTGATCGCCATCCTAATTTTTCTATATCTAATTCGGAGACACCCGCTAATGATCAAGTAAGGAAACTATAACTAAAAAAATCTTAAAAATATTTAATAATTCTTCAGAGAGCGACTTTGTGAAATAATGCCACACCAACCACACAAAAAGCTGTTTTCTTTTATCCCCCGCCGCTTTCCCTCCTGCTTCATCAAATCAGATATTTTCAACTTGCGCTTTTGTACAATTATCCTCCCATTTTAATGAAAAAGCACGGACTCTATATTTCTGTTTTTTTTTTTACTTTTTTTCCAGCCTACATGCTTTTATGTGTTTCAAACAAAAAAGAAGAAGAAAAACTATCTATACGAGATAATCAGATACTCCGACTGGGCCTTAACATAGAATTAATACTTTTATTGAGCCGTAAGTGCTAAATAGACTCAGATGTACCCATTATTTATTTAAAAGTCCTGATCAATCATGGTTATACTGTACACCAGGGCCCGGCAACCTGGGCTCATTAGGCTCACGCGGCTCCCAAGCTTCGTTAGTCAGAGCTGGGAGAGGGGCCTCATCCGCTTAACAAAACTACCTGCTCTAATTCGATATCTCTCTCTGCTTGAGCTCTTGTTCGACGACACCGGCAGAGGGCCACCGTGGGATCCAGCGGGAATTTTGATTTTCCATCAATTTGAATTATAAATATAATTTTTTAAATTCGAAATAGGCAGCAATATGAGGAAAAATTATTTTTTCGATGTTTTCATGATGAGGAATCTGCCTTGACAATTATTTTGTCTCCAGACGATATTTGCAGCAATGAAACAAATAAAATAAAATACTTGTCCATTCCTGAGCTGGAGCAGTAACTGTACCCAATAATATGAAGCAAACAATTCGTATATGAATAGTGGTGTAAGTCTTATACCATTATTTGTCCACGAATTATTTTACGATTTAATTATTATATTATGAGCAATAGTTATGATAGTCCTTGCTGAGGAAATGAATAAGAATAAAGAGATATAAAAATGAGAATTCTGAGAAGAAACTGGCAATGCACAGAACTGAGATAGCCCATAATAAATGAGAAATATGCGCGAGATTTGCGATGAAACGGTTTTAGTAGAAAATCTCAATTTTCAATTTTTTTTAAATTTGTTGATCAATAATGTCCAAGGATTCTCCTCCAAATCTGCTCATGTCGAGGTAAAGTCTTTGAACTTGATTTTTTCTGATGACAGTTTTGGGGTTTGAAACGCGTACCAGTTTATTGGATATTGTCATTGCTTAGCAACAAACGAGGCAATATTCGAAAAATATCTCAAGTAAAACCGTTTTACTTGTACCACGTGACGGAAAATGCCAGCATTTGATTGATTGAAATTGGGATGAAAAAAACCATCAGGAATATAATATAATATATAATAGAATCTTCCAAAAATAACCCTGGCAAATTTTTATTTTTCACATTTAGAGTGGCACTATTCGGTAGGCAAATAATAATTGCCGAAAGCCAATTCCTAAATATATTCTTGAGGGTTTTTCATTGTAAATTTTAATTTTTCTATTTTCTATTTAAAATTTGAAACTGAAAATTGCGCCAATTCTGGCGGGTCAGCCATTTTTATGCGACTGGCACGCCACTCTACGTGGCTGGCTGCAATATCGTCACTACTGGGACTTATTCGCTCACAATGGTTGGCTAATTGGGTACCCATTAGGATAAGAGGATTATCCCGACCCTAGTAATAGGCTGGCTCCCGACTACCTGAAGGTTGCCGGGCCCTGTTCTAGGGAATAAAACTCGTAAGTATAGGGGAAATTGTCTGTGCTTCCTGAATTCATCCGCACGGGTCCGTAGCGGTGACGCATGAACTAGGATGGAGCCCGTGCTTGTAAGCTAATCAAGGAGCGTCAAGTCATCTAATATTTGTGACTTACCCTTTTACAATTGGAATCGATTTTTAATAATTTAATGATTTGAATATAACAACGAAATTAAAAATTTTAGTTTAGTTAATTTTTCAATATTTAGAATTCGAACATTTTAATCATAAATTAATTACAATGGAATCAATTTGAATCAATTGTTAATATTTAATTCAAATATTGCACCTAAATTTAATCTTTTAAATTAAAAATTTTCAGTGCTTCAATCTTCGAGCATTTTAACTTTTAATTAATTACCTAAATAACCTAATATTCGTGAATTACTCTTTAACAATTGGAATCGATTGTTAATAATTTAATGATTTGAATATAACAACCAAATTAAAAATTTTAGTTCAGTTAATTTTTCAATATTTACAATTCTAACATTTTAATCGTAAATTAATTAAACAGATAATTTAATGTTTGTAAATGACCCTTTAACAATTGGAATCAATTGTTAATATTTAATTCAAATATTGCACCTAAATTTAATCTTTTAAATTAAAAATTTTCAGTGCTTCAATCTTCGAGCATTTTAATCTTTAATTAACTACCTAAATAACCTAATATTTGTGAATGACTCTTTAACAATTGGAATCGATTGTTAATAATTTAATGATT